TTATGAGAATATCTATGATAGTACATGGCTTGTTCGGTCCTTAAGGGAATCCACACACAAAAACACAGGAGCAAAGGAGTTTTCTTGACAAAACAGAGACTGAAGAAGAACATAGTTATTTTACTGATAGTTGATAAGGTCTGCTTCTGATTTCTGAAGAAATAACTATGTTTCTTACGTATGAATGCAAGAGGAACTCAGAACTTATCCTCAGAGAAGACTCACCTTGTCGTGAATCCATCAGAGTTCTTTTGTGACTCCAATAGAAAATATGGTTGGTCTCACTTCTTCTGGGGTAATATCACCACAAAGTTGTTGACTCATCTCACTCATCAGTCATCACTACATTAGGAACATGTTGGGCCACCTCTTGTTGTGTGCAGTGAGAAGCAGGAGAGAAAAGCTCTGTAAAATATCGTTCTACGAAGGCAAGTTTTTTTTTTTTTTTTGGGCCGACTAGATACAAAGTATTAATGTCAACATTCTAACACAGGGGAAATAAGAGTATAATAACATAGATTGGCCTTATTCCGCATGTGAATGGTCTCACATTTGGATTCTTGTATGGGTTTTGTGGTAGAGAAAAAAATCTATCTGTTTATTGAGATAAAGGCAAAATGCCCCATTGATGCAGAAACCCTTTTCCAGTGGTGACTTCGAGCACCAAGAGAGCGAGCACGGCCAACATTGCTGCTCTTCCGTTCCATGTTTCCGCACTTTTGGTCCATCCCCATTCCCACATCGTCACCGGCGCAGGTAATTCCCTCCTCTGTGAATCATATGTCGCTAAAAGTTCTTCTACACTCCCAAGCGGAACTAACGACTGCCCATGGAAAAACAATAAACCACCGCATCAGTACACCTAACTGAATCCACCAGACGTATAAAGAATAAAGATTTCCATCAGCATGCTTTATGTAAAAGCATTGGTTGTTTCAAATGCAAATACTTTCATTTTCCGTTCACGTGTACATATAAAATAGTGTTCACATATCAACGAACCACATTTGAAAAATTATACCAAAAATTATTTGTTAATGGTTAATGAACACACAAAATACACTCACAAACTCTCCATATGGTTGCATTTCAGGTTTTCATTTACGAAAAATGTTTATAAAAACACTAAAACGTAGTTGTTTTCATCTTGGTAAACATAATAGAAAAATAACAATCAACCCCATATTTAGTGTACTGATACTCACTATGGGTGAGGATACCTAGCAATAAGGAGTTTGTGCACACATGTGTCAATTAAAATGAAGATAACAGCTTCTTTTGGAACTCAAGTACATAAGAGATGAAGAGTGTTTACCTGTCGAGCTTCGAGATTTGAGACTGCCATAGCTCCAACATATGGAAGACTTTCCATAACAGCATCTGCCAGGTCAGATATAAACATGGGTTCCGTTCCTAGCGCAGGCACTCGCCCCCAGTTTTTGATACCAGACTTCAAAGCCAACTCTTTATATTCAACATCTATCTCTTCCAGAGTTTCAATGTGCTCACTCACAAAGCTGTTAAATAAGGAACAAAGTTGAGTTTCAACTAACCAAAAGAAAAGTATAAAGATCAAAATTTGCCCCCGAAATACTTCTTTACCTTATGGGTACTGCAAGAAGATCTTCAACACCTTTTTTACCAAGTTCAGTAATGGCTTCTTCAGTGTATGGTTTCAGCCATTCCACTGGTCCAACTCTGCTCTGTTGAGATGTTGCGCAAAAATATTAAAACTACAGATATGAGTGATTTGACAAACAGCTCTCAAAATTAAGGCACCGGTCAATCACAAATGTGAAATAGAAATAATAAATATCAATGACAGCTACCACTAATGAGAAATTATACAATCTCTTTACGAAGAATTTTTAACAAGAAATTTGTATTACTTTCAGATCAAATTTATAGTTACCATTCATGAAACAAAGAAAAGACCTGATAAGCGAGAGTGTAAGCATTAGTTATATTTCTCTTGTCTAATTCCTCCATAATCAGATCAACGCATTCTTCCATCTCTGCCTTGTAAGGATCACCGGCTTCTTCAACATATGCAAGAGGCACACCATGTGCACTGAAAAATATTACAACCTGTAACATATATTTTGGTTTGAAGCACGTCTTAGGACAGTTGAATTGGCAGAAACCAGAATGATACAAAAGATTTGAAATTCTTCTTTCCACTAGAGAATAACTTATCACATGAACTAGAGTGATAAATGACACAAGAAGAAATTTCAACAAATTTGTTTGCTATCTACATATTGGGAATATGGCAAATTCATATAAAACTAACTCGGACAGAATGGAAATGGAAAAGATTGTCTGTCTACCTTACTAGGGTCACCAAATTTTCCCAACTCGCTTTGGATTAAATTTGCCATTGCCTTTATATATCCCTCCCGTTGATACCATGATGGTATAACAGTATGCTGCATGTTCACAAGATACTCGTCCTCTCTATGAAATAGCAAGTCAAGCACAGAAAGGTAAATAAATTAAATACGACATGGTCTTGGCATAATAAAACAATGTAAGATGTGCATGTCTCACCGGAATATTTTCTCCAAGAGTCTTAGGCTTGAACCACTGGTTGATATTGAAAATTGAGGATACAGTGGTAGAACAACAAGTTTTGTTATTCCATCTCTTTTTATCTGGAAGAAGATATAGATTGAAAATGAGCAAGAATTAGAAGGTGACAAATATAATTCAAATCGTTATTTTTCTACACCAAAGTTAAGCTTCAAAAAAAAAAAAATGTTTACATACTGTTAAAGACTAGACAAGTAATCCCAATTAGTTAAAGCATTTATAATAAAATAAGGAAGAGTAGTAAGGCCTTCCATTATTTTGTTCCTTTAGCCTTCACATGTTAAAATATTATGTTCAAATTCAAAACATTATTCTATTTTATCAAACATGATTTGCAAGTTGTAAACAACAAATGCTTCCTCGGTGAAGTTCTAGAAAGATACAAAATGTTGTGTTTTCCTCTAAATGTAAACAACAAATTTAACATGTAAATACAAACGCAAAGAACAAATTTCCATATATCAAGATACTTTGGACCATTAACGAGATACCTGTTCAATAGCTTCCTCAGTGAATGGATGCCAATACCGCATACCAACATATACCTTAGCTGGGACATTTTTCTCCCAAAGGCACTTTCTCAATTCTTCAGCCTGGTGAAGGTAGGACAGGTCCAACATAAGGATGTACAGGAAACAATGTCAGGAATTAATAGCATGAGGACAAAGCTAAATAACAATAACCAAGAACAGAGATTCAAGAAATTCTATGTGGACTGTATATGCATATGTAATTCTTACCATAATCTCAATAACCTACCACTCTTAAGTTGAGGTGTCCCACACATGAGCAAGAGATTTACAAATGGAAATGAAAACTGAAACACTTTGGGAGAGACTAAGGAGCCATTTTAGTTGGATGCAAGCACCAATTGACAGATAATAAAAGCTGATTCATTGAGAAGTGTAAGCCTTGAATAATCAGTCTTTGTCTAACAGGTTTTGATTCAGTAACTTGCAGGTGCCCATCTAAGAAATAACTTCCACAAACAAGAGAGAAAATCCAAGAAAAGCTGCGTAACTAAGATTATATCACCATACGAGAATACCTGTGCATCAGTGATGAGGCGGAGGGGAGAACCACCACCAATTGCTGCATATCCTTCCTTGCTTTTAGGTGCCCTTGCTACTGATATAAATTGCGCCAATGGCTTCTGAAGAAATTGGAACAGCGGTGGCAACCGTATAATGTCCTACCGATTGAACAAAACCAAGTTATAGACATTACTTGTATGAGAAAAGGAAAAAGACGAAAGCCGTTCAAACAATCTCCCCCCTTTTACACTATCATAGTGAGACTGTTATTACCGGGTCAGCGAAAAGGTTAAACAAGAACGGTTGCACATCATCTAATGTCTCAGGGCCTCCAAGGTTCAATAACAGGACTCCAATTTTCTCATCATCATCACTGATGACTGATGCAGATGATATGTTTAAAGGATTGGAGGTCACAAGAGCTTTCAAAGACAATGAGTGTTTTCTTAGCAGCCGGTTCGATAGATTTGCCTCACAGGGTAATCTAGAGAATTGCACAGATCTCTGTGAATCATGGCTCATGTGTGGCAACAGTCTGCATCACATTCCAATAAAAAACAAAAAAAACAAGATTCATAGTCTATTAAACCAAAATTGAAGTGAAAGAAGAGGTGGAAACTTACG